AGCCAGGCGGGATGGGAGGATAGCGAGAGCGGCGGCAGCCCCTTCCACATGCAGCGCATGGAGGCGACGAAGGCAGGCAAGGTGGCCCCGGCGTGCCTGTTGCTGTGGAGGCGCGGCGATCGCTAGGCCAGGGTGGCCTCGGCTGGAGCTGCATGTGCCCATGCTGCTGCCCAGGCCGAAGGGAAAGCGCCATGGGCTCCACAGTGGCACTGCTGGGCCTGGCCTGCTCCCTGCAGGAGGGGCTACCGCCCTGCTGGCGGCTTCCACCCCTCACAAATGCACCGCAGCTGAGCCTCCTTCCCCTGGAGCGCTGGACTCCGTGGGCTGAGTTCCCGAAGAGGCGCCAGCAGGCAGGTGGCTGGGTGGGAATCCAGTGGGCTGCTTTGGAGCCCCAAGCCCTGCGGAGCCAGCACAGGAGGCACAGGCAGAAGGCTGCTTTTTACATTTCACCCCTGGGTCAGTTACTTCAGCCCGCCTCTCAAGGCTGTTTTGGAAATAGATTGAATTTTTTAGTAGTTATATACTGCTGGGCTCAATCATGTGTCCAGGTAGTTCACACTTTAAAACAGGCAAAACAATAGGAACCCCTGAGACATCCTTCATTTTGGGAAGGCCAGTAAGGAGGTTGTGAATGTAATTTGCAAAAATATGGTGGAATAAAAGATTTACACTGGGAGTTATTCTTTCTTTTGAAGAAGTTAAGCTTTCTTTTCTGAGATTTAAGGAGATTCACCAAAATGGATGAAGAACAAAGACACCCCCCCCCCGGCTCCAGCCTGGCTTGTAAGAATTGCATCCATGCCAGTTTTGTAATGCATTACAGAAGTTGTACATTGGCTCTTCCCGGGGGTTTTCAATTGTTTTGTTTAGGAAAGAGATAAGAGGGCTAAATGGTCCCTCTTCCTGTGATTAACCAGGACTGAACCTGCTTAGCTGAGAAGATCAGCTGTGGACACCCAATTAATCATAACATGTAATCAGGAAGGCAATTACTACACATATTGATCATTTCAGGGAGAACCTTTTGCTCCAAATCACCTAGATCAGGGGTGGGGAACATTGGCCCTTTTATGACTTGTGGATTCCAACTCCCAGACAAGTCATAAAGGGGCCATAGTTCCCCACCTCTGGTCTAGATGGAGACAGTGTTGTGTGTACCCTTCCCTTAAGAGGTAAGGGGGTGGTTTTATTTATTCATCAAATTCCTACACTGTCCATCTCAGCTAAGTGACTCTGGGCAGTTCATAAAACAGTATAAAAACATGATTAAAAAACACAATTAAAACGGTTAGAAACAGGATTAAGATTTATACTTTAAAAGTTAAAGAGTTATTAACCTTTTAGCTTTGTTAATTTTTAAGGTGGAGGGAGCACCCTCAAGCCACCAGTCATTCCTGAAGTTTTGTAACGCTGTCAGCCCCCACTCCCATGATTGGCAGAATCAGGTCTTAACACTCCTCAAGAAAGTCAGAAGAGTGGCCACTCCAGTGGTGGGTTCCTCCCGGTTCGGTCCGGTCCGGCCGACCCGGTAGCAGTGACGATATGACATTACCGAACCGCTTCTTCCCACCCCCGCCCTCCCACCCCCCCACGTTATTCTTACCTTTTATTTGGTCCCACCCCCAATCTATTGCTGCCTCCTGAGTCCCAGCTGATGACTAGAGGGAAAAAAACTGTTTAAACTCTTGCCGCGGGGCTTCAAAGGGCCGTCCTACAGCTGATCAGTGTTAAAAGTAAACAAATGAGTTGGGTTGTAAGTGCGAGGACTGGTCGTAAGTGTGAGGACCTTCCAGAAATGACTCTGACCAGCTAGCCACGCCCACCTAGTCACATGACCCCCCCAAGCCACACCTACAAAATAAGTCACACCCACAGAACCAGTAGTAAAAAAATTTAGAACCCACCCCTGGGCCACTCACTTTACCTAGGTAGGTAAGATGTTCCAAAAGGTGGAGACAACAGCAGAGAAGGCCCTCTCCCCTAGATCAGGGGTCTCCAACCTTGCCCTAGATCATACCAGTCAAAATTCTTTTAACTAATAAGATCTGCAACGTGTCCACCCTGCCTGATTAGGTGGTATGGATCGATTTAATTGAGAAACAGTTCCGCACATAACCTGGTACCACAAAGGACTTTAAAAGTAACAACCAACACCAACACTGGGCCCGGAAGCAAAATAACTCTCATTTCAGCTTGTGCAGCAAAGGTGTTACATGTGTAACCTAGAGACATCCAGAACTGCTTTTTCCCCTGCATTCTGCACCACTTGCAGCTTCTGAATACTCTTCAAGGGTAGCTTCAAATAGAGCATACTGCAGTAGTCCATCTAGGAAATGATCAGGGCATGAGTGACTGAAAGGAGGGCTTCTTGGTTCAGGAAGGGGCATAACGTGCACATCCGAAGTTGACAAAACACCCTGCTAGCCATGACTGCCACCTGCATGAGTCAGAAGGATCCCCAGATTACACACTAGGTGTCAGGTTTCGATGTCATCTCAAATAAATTGCACTCCCAAACAATTAATCTTTGCTGAAATATTCCATTTATTGAGTACGACAGATCTGGCCCCGACTTCGTCATAGCCGATATTAACCCTCTGACCCCCAAACCCTTCCCTTTCCATTCCCCAATTCTCATCTTCTCATTGGCCATCTTCCAAATCAGTCTCCCCAGCTTCTGACCTCACCCCACAGGAATGTTCCCCCCTCCCATCCCATCTCCTAGGGGATATTATCTACAGAGAAAATAAGTAGGTGAAAAGTCAAGCCTCGTCTCCTCCTTTTTATGGCAGCATCAGAATGCTGACACTAGGTCCTTCTCGGGCAGTGCAAACCCATCCACGCCAAAGATGTTGAACCCCCATATGTGGAGGACCCTCCTTTCCACAGTCACTCATCTTAACAGGTTCAGTTGTAGCCTGTTGTCCCCAGTCCAGACTCCCACAGCCTCCAAGCGTCATGAGAGCACATTCACAGCATCACTTACTTCACCCAGGAGATGGTACGCTTGGGTATCATCTGCATACTGATGATACTTCATCCCATAGCTACAGATGATCTCACCCACCAGCTTCATAGAGATGCAAAAAAAAAAGAAAAAAAGAACAGAGGGAGCATTGAGCCCTTCAGCACCTTACAATGCAGGATCATAGGCTGGGCCTCTGTTGATTGGGATCGATCCCCAGAGGAAGAACGTACAGCAGCACAAAACTGCCAGTCATTCACAGCTCCTGAAGTCAACTCAAAAGGGTACTGTGGTTGATGGTATCAAACGCTGCTGAGAGGTCAAGATGACTCCATCCCACTCCTGCCAGAGATCATCCAGAAGCATAACTGATGTTGGTTCTGATTCTGTTCCTTTCTCATTTAGGTTCCTGTGTCCTTTGAGGTTAATTTGGCTGTTAATTTCACCAGTGAAGAATGGTTGCTGCTTGATCCCAGCCAGAAAGCCCTGTATCAAGAAGTCATGTTGGAAACGTCAAGGATGGTGGCCTCTTTAGGTAAAGGTTCCTCTGGAAGACAATTTAAGTCACATTGAAGAGTCACTAGATGGCTTATTTACATATTAGGAAATAATGTTAAAATGAGTTCTCTTTTTTATCTTATATTAATTTCTCCACCTCCACAGTCTTCTAAGTACCTCAGTTTCAGTTAGAAGAAAGGGATTAGTCTCATGACCAGTCCATCTAGAAAGGATTGATATGCAGTCTTGGGATGTTCCTTGGGCTCTATGTCAATACTGCAGAGATGCTTCATCATCATCCTCCTCATCATCATCATGGAGGGAATGTTTTTGCTTATTTCACATGCCCTAATCAGCACCATATTTCCTCTTACAATGATATTGCAATAAGGTGTATATTGTGGCATTGGATGCAACTTAGGTACATCACATCTGACAAAGGTGTGTGCTGCACCTCATGGTGTTAAGATCTGAGCTGCAGAGCATCGCATTGGTTGTCGTTATCATGTTGTTTTAAATTGTTGTAAACCATCCAGAATTACATGAGATAAGCACTCATGTCAACCTTTTGAATTAATAAATAATATTCATGTTGTCGTTTAGCCTGCGGCTCCCCCGCAATTGCCAAAGAATAGATACAGGCTAGATAGATCACGGATGTCAAACTCGCCATGTCACATTGCCGTCATGTGACATTTCGCGACGTTTTCCCCCTTCGCTGAGCTGGGATGGGCGTGGCCTGTGTGCAATGCATCCGGCCCACAGGCAACCAGTTTGACACCCTTGAGCTAGAGACTTTCATGGGGAAAGCAAGTGGTATGTTGAAGACTTTTCTGATTTCTTTTTTTCCCCCCCTCAAGCAGTTGATGATCCAGATACTGAAAATTACCAAGAGCCAGGGGTGGTGCCGTCACAAATAATCAAAATTGAAATACAAGGAGACACAACTGCAGATAAGTGTGACAAAGGAAGAAATGAGGAAAACCAATCTTACAATTGGAGAGAAAAATCCATTCTTGAATGCACAGAAATGGATAACTTCCTGACCCAACAGGATTGTAAAGAAAGCAGAATGGGAACGTGTCAAGGAAGCGATGAAATACTTCAAGCAAAACCCAGCTTCAGTAACCAGTGCAAAACTGGAAAAAGTTTCAGCAAGAATAGTAACATTATTCCCCATAAAATGATCCATACAAGGGAGAAGCCGTATAAATGTGTAGACTGTGGAAAGAGTTTTAGGTGGAGAGGTAATCTAACCACCCATATAAAGATCCATTCACGGGAAAAACCCTATAAATGCACAGACTGTGGAAAAAACTTCAGTATGAACAGTTCCCTTACTTCTCATAAAAGGATCCATACAGGAGAGAAACCGTTTCAATGCACAGTGTGTGGAAAGAGCTTCAGTTTGAACAGGTGCCTTGTTTCTCATAAAAGGACCCATTTAGGATTGAAACATTATATATGCAATCAATGTGGGAAAAGTTTTATTTTAAGCAGTTCCCTTACTAATCACATTGGTACCCATACCAGAGAGAAACTATATCACTGTACTGACTGTGGGAAAAGCTTCAGGTGGAAAAGTCACCTTACTTCCCATGAAAGGATGCATACAGGGGAAAAACCATATGAATGCAAGGACTGTGGAAAAAGCTTCAGTATGAACAGTTCTCTAACTTCACATAAAAAGATCCATACAGGAGAGAAGCCCTATCAATGCATATTATGCGGGAAGAGTTTCAGGTTGAAAGGTCATCTTACTTCCCATAAAAGAATGCACACAGGGGAAAAACCCTATAAATGCATTGAGTGTGGAAAGAGCTTCAGTATGAGTAGTTCTCTTACTTCTCATAAAAGGATCCATACAGGAGAGAAACCTTACCAATGCTTGGAATGTGGGAAGAGCTTCAGCAAAAGCAGTATTCTTAATTCCCATAAAAGGATCCACACAGGAGAAAAACCTTATAAATGTCTGGATTGTGGAAAGAGCTTCAACAACAGGAATCACCTGACCTCCCATAAAAGGGTCCACACAGGAGAGAAACCCTTTAAGTGCACAGAGTGTGGAAAGAGCTTCAGTTATAGTGATTCCCTTACTTCTCATAAAAGGATCCATACAGGAGAGAAACCCTACAAGTGCATGGAGTGTGGAAAATCCTTTATTCAGAGCAGTCACCTTACTTCCCATAACAGGATGCACACTGGGGAGAAACCATATAAATGCATAGAGTGTGGAAGGAGCTTCAGCAGCAGCAGTTCCCTTATCTGCCATAAAAGGATCCATTCAGGGTTGAAACCTTATATATGCAAGGAATGTGGGAAGAGTTTTATTTCAAGCAGCTCCCTTACTAATCACATTAGTATCCACATAGCTGAGAAACTCTATCAATGTACAGAGTGCGTGAAAAGCTTCAGGTGGAAAAGTCAACTTATTTCCCATAAGAGAATACATACAGGGGAAAAACCCTATCAGTGCATGGATTGTGGAAAAAGTTTCAGTCTGAACAGTTCCCTTACTTCTCATAAAAGGATACATACGGGAGAGAAACCGTATAAATGCATAGAGTGTGGGAAGAGCTTCAGCAAAAGCTGTAACCTTACTTCCCATATAAGGATCCACACAGGAGAGAAACCCTATCAGTGTACAGAGTGTGGAAAAAGCTTCAGTTTGAATAGTTCTCTTACTTCTCATAAAAGGACCCATACAGGAGAGAAAAAAATATACATTAATGATGTGTGGAAAGAACTTAATGTGGAACAATCAACTTATTTCCCATAAAAGGTCCCATATGGGGAAGATGCCTTTAGCGATTGAAGTGTCCTTAATTCCTGTGAAATAATCCATTATGATATCAAACATGTACAGTAAAGACATGGAATGCAAAGAACTTCAATCAAGATTTTTGAACTGATTTCTCTTAAAAGGCACCATTTGAGGGAAATATGATGTAAGCAAAGTGTGTGAAGTGCTTCAAAGGTTTTTTTTTAATTGTTCCTTTGAGGTAGTTTTTTCGCAGGATTTTTGGCAAAGTTTTTGGAAGTGGTTTGCCATTGTCATCATCATAGGGCTGAGAGAGTGACTGGCCTAAGGTCCCCCAGCTGGCTTTGTGCCTAAGGTGAGAATTCTCTTAGCTCCTGTGAAAGGATCCACACAGGAGAAATCCAGAAATGTGTGTCTGGAAGAGAGCTTGTAGAGTAGCAGTCTTACTTTCCATGAAAGGATAAACTATATAAATGTAAGAAATTTAGTAAGAATTTCAGTACAAGGCGCTCTTATTTCCCAGAAAAAGTTTCATGCAAGAGACAGTACAGTATGAATGTATGAAATATATAGAAAATCACCCTGTTGATCTGTCTTACTTCCCAGAAAAGGATCCACTTTAAGGATTCAGGAGTACAAGGATCTTGTGAAAAGAGATTGAGGCAGTCTTTCTTCGTTTGGGGGATCACCACAGGAAAAACTGAATAAATGTATGGATTATGGAAAGAGCTGCCAGGATATCTGTCTTAATTCCAGAGGTATTACCTCTTAATTAGGTCCTGCTCATGAGAATCTGTTATTAAAATGTCCCATTCATTACACCAAAATCTCTGCCTGGTCATATGGGTTTATCTAGGCAGAAGCAACATCTGAACCAAGTCTGGGATCAGGCTTCAGGCTTTGTGGAGAGCTGTGCAAGCAAAGCAGGGGAAAACTGTTGTGCATTTTAGCTATAACTACTGAAAATACCTGCTTTCCTTAAACTCGTAATGAAGTATTAAAGCTTGGTTTTAAAATCAGTGAAAATCTCTGCCAAATGTTTGACTGTTTAGCTTAGATCTCTGGGTGCAAAATCACATTAATCCTGCTGAAAACAGATGAGCAGTTTAAAATTGCAGCTGTGGCCTTTTTACTTGGAAAATGGTTTATTGATTCCACAGTGTTGTATGAGCAATATTTTTAAATAAAGGAAAAAGTTCAACTGAACTGTTCGTTTGTCTTCAGTTCTGCGCAAGGCAACCAGAACAATATTTTCTAGTCTTCTATCATGAAGAAATAACATTCAGTTGAAAGGGAATTCTTTGTGGATTCGTTTGGTGTTATATTCCAGAACTACTATGTTTCTCAAGGGTTTTGATGTCACTTTAGTGCCTCTATATTAGTTAAGGCAGATTCCGGAATTTGTGACATCAAGATGATCAGAAAGGTCAATCCTATTTGAAGTTTGAGAGGGCCAGGCCATTACAAATTTGAGAAGCCTTGTCTGACATGATTTTGACTCTGTGCTTTTAATCTTAATGTAGCTTTTTTTTTTAAATGTATATCCTGAGTATTAACTATATTCCTCTTTTGAAGGGTTAATATAGTAAATTATTTGGAACAGTTGTGCAGTGTAAATGTTGCAAATGTAATATATACCGAACGAAGCTAAAAGAAAAAAATGTTTTATTTATTTATTTATTTATTTATTATCAGATTTATATACCGCCCTTCTCCCGAAGGACTCAGGGCGGTGCACAGCCAAAGTAAAATTTGGCCCCAAAGTTAAAAAACAATAGCAAAACATATTAAAAACATTTAAAAAGCATTAAGCCAGCCCGGCTGGCTGAAAAAGAAAGGTCTTTAGGGCACGGTAGAAGACACCGAGGTCGTATCTTCGTATCTCTGGGGGCAGCTGATTCCAGAGGGCAGGTGCCCCCACAGAAAAGGCCCTCCCCCTGGGGGCCACCAGTCTACATTGCTTGGCCGATGGCACCCTGAGGAGGCCCTCTTTGTGGGAGCGCACAGGTCGGTGGAAGGCCATTGGTAGCAGCAGGCAGTCTTGAAGATATCCAGGTCCTATGCCATGGAGCGCTTTAAAGGTGATAACCAACACCTTGAAGCGCACCCGGAAGACCACTGGAAGCCAGTGCAGCTCACGCAGGTGTTATGTAGGAGCGCCATGCAGCTCTCGTAACTACCCGCGCGGCCGCATTGTGGACCAGTTGGAGCCTCCGAGCGCTCTTCAAGGGGAGCCCCATGTAGAGAGCATTGCCGTAGTCCAGGTGAGAGGTGACGAGGGCATGAGTGGCTGTGCACAAGGAATCCCGATCTAGGAAGGGCCGCAACTGGCGGATCAGGCGAACCTGATAAAAAGTACCTTGGCTACAGCTGTCAGATGTTCCTCCAAGGACAGCTGCACATCCAGGAGGACGCCCAAATTGTGAGCCCTCTCCGTGGGGGCCAAAGACTCGCCCCCAATAGTCAGTGATGGTGTCAACTGACTATATCAGGATGCTGGAAACCACAGCCACTCAGTCTTGGATGGGTTGAGCCTGAGCCTGTTCCTCCCCATCCAGATCCGCACAGCTTCCAGGCACCGGGACATCACTTCAAGGGCATCATTGGGGTGACCCGGGGTGGAGATGTACAGCTGGGTGTCATCAGCGTACTGATGGTACTTCACCCCAAAGCCATGGATGATCTCTCCCAGTGGCTTCACATAGATGTTGAACAAAAGGGGCGAGAGGACCAACCCCTGAGGCACCCCACATATGAGGCGTCTCGAGGTCGACCTCTGCCCCCCTGCCAACACAAACTGCGACCGGTCCGAGAGAAAGGAGGAGAACCACCGTAATACGGTGCCCCCCATCCCCATAATATGTTCCAAAGGTGCTTTTTCAGGAGGCAACTGGAAGGATTTATATTCTTTGCAAACAGGTAGTCATTGGCATCCTTTTAGAGGGTCTCATCCAAGAACGTCTTCATAGAAAAAACAAAAAAGTCCAATTGCCTCATGAAAAAGCACCTTTGGGACAACCATGACCTTAACAGATTAACAGAGTTGGAAGGGACCTTATAGGTCATCTAGCCCAACCCCTCACCCCACAAGCAGGAGACCCTATACCATTTCTGACAAATGGCAGTCCAATCTTTTCTTGAAAGTGTCAAGTGATGAAGCTCCCACAACTTCCGAAGGCAAGCTGTTCCATTGGTTGTGGTGTTTTCAATTGTGGTTTCCAGTGCTGCTGGAGGCTGGCTGAAAGCTTCATGCTCAGCCAGGTAGAGAAATGTTGGGAAGGGTAGCTGGTGAGTCCTTTTGCAGTCCACGAGTTCTGCAGGTCATTTTCTTTTCACCCAGAGCTAAAAGTGAGGCTGTTTTCCAAAGCTGTGTCACTGCTGGGATGCAGAACAGAAATCTTAAGGATGGTTTGACATTTGATTTTCAAGCTGTGACTTCAAGTGCCCTGAGCAACCAGATGCAGATTTTGTTCAAGCCAATCTTTCCTTAACAGGGTCCTTTTCCAATGATGCTACACCAGGAGATTCCCGATACCATAAAGCATGATGAGGAAGTCTAAAAAGTAATAAAGACAGGCAATCAGAATAGAACTGGAAGGGCCTTCAAAGTCTTCTAGTCCAACCCCCTGCTCAAGCATAAGTTCCTATTACCCTTTCAGATAGGTGGCTGTCCAGTTTTTTCTTAAAAACCTCCAGTAATGAAGCACCCACAACTTCTGGTGACAAGATGTTCCACTGGTTAATTGTCATCACTATTAAGAAATTTCTCCTTAATCCCAGGTTGCTTCTCTCCATTAGTTTCCTTTTATTGTTTCTTATCTTGCCTTCTGATGCTTTGGAAAATAAGTTGAGCTCTTCTTCTTGGGAGAAGCCCCTCAAATACTGGAATTCTGCTATCATGTGACCCCTAATTCTTCTTTTCTGTAGACTAGCCAAAGCCCTCAGGAAGAAGACTCGCGACCCAGCTGAGGAGAATCTGAGAGTGCGTTTTCCCGCCCAAACCTGACAGGCACTTCTCTCCTGCCATTGGCTCGCCAGGCTCACGTGATCCGGCGAGCTTCGTTCCCCGCCCCCCCCTTCCCCAACGGGTTTAATAATAAAGACCTTTCAAAGCCCTCAGGGAGAGAAAACGGGAGAGTCGCCCCCAGCAGAAAAGTGGCTGAGGCGACCCAGCGATTCTCTTCCCACCCAAACCTAACAGGCGCTTAATATCTGTATTAAACTTTTCAGATATGTTAGCACAGAGCATGATGAAGTATAATAATAATAATAATAAACCCTCCCCCGGTCCCAGGGAGAGCCGCCCCCAGCATAGAAACGTCTGAGGAGATTCAGCGATTCTCTTTTTCCCGCCGAAACCTGACAAACGCTTCTCTCCCGCCATTGGCTCGCCAGGCTCACATGACCCGACGAGCTCTCCTCCCTTCGCTCCCCCCACCTCTCCGCGGGTTTCCACCTACCGGCGCCAAGGAGGGAAGGGTAGCTCCGCTCTCATACGGGGCGACTGAGCATGCGCGCCTCCTCGCTGAACACCTGGCCTCGGTGAGACCCCCACGCGCCCTCACTCGCTCGCTCGCTGCAACTGTTGCTTCATCTTGGCAGGATTCCCCCTCACCTCCTTCCCTTGTGAGGGGGACGTGCAATGGGCTCATTCGGGGACAGTCACTCCAGTGATGTGGAGGGAAGAGTTTGGCTTCCCTTTGCATGCGCGTGACTTTGCATGCACGAAGACCCCAAACTTGGGCAGGAAGGAAAAGCCCAGGCTCGCCAGGAGGGAAGGGATCTGGGGAATATTGGAATAGGAATAATGGATGGGAACTGATCAAGGAGAGTTTCAGCCTGGAAATAAGGAGGCAGTTTCTGACAGAACAATCAACCAATGGAACAGAAGTTGCCTTCGGAAGTTGTGGGAGCTTCATCACTGGAAGCGTTCAAGAAGAGACTGGACTGGTCTTCTAGTTCAGCCCCCTACTCAAGCAATAGAACCTATACCATCTCAGACAAGTGGCTATCTAGTCTCTTCTTAAAAACCTCCAGTTATGGACCGCCCATGATTTCTGAAGGCAAGCTGTTCACTGGTTAATTGTCATCACTGTTAGGAAGTTTCTTCTTAATGAGCCACCGTGTTTCTCACACAGGAGACAACCTTGGCAGGACCCAGGAAGGTTGCCAGGGTTCCACACTTTTCTCTTGGCTTTTCGCATCAAGCCCAGGCTGTTGGGGTGTGTGTGTGTTTGTGAGATGAACACAACGAAATGCTTCAAGAGGACAAATAAAAGGACAAATATTTGTGCTGACCAAGGACTTCAAGTCTCCTCTCCGACGGGATACGAATGAAAGGCCACCATGAGATCCAAGATTCCCTCAGAGCCAGGAGGAAGATTCGCGAACCAGCGATTCCTTTTCCCGCCCAAGCCTGACAGGCACTTCTCTCCCGCCATTGGCTCGCCAAGCCCTTGCCGAATGCCTGGCCTCTCTAGGACTCCGCACTCGTTCTCTGTAACCGTTTCGTTTTCGCGCCAGACACGTGCAGAACCACCTCGTGGGAACGGAGGCAAAGAGAGGGATGGAGGGCGTGAAATCCTAGTCAGTCCAGATTCCCTTTGCATGCAGGGGGGGAACGAAGATTCCCCAACTCGGCCAGGAAGGAAAAGTGGAAGCTCGCCGGAAGGGAGGGGGATTTGGGGGAGCATTTAGTACCCCCCTCACCAATTTCCTGGATAAAGCCTTGAGAGGAGACAGAGACGGATTGTTATTGTTGTTTTTGCATTACAAACTCAAGCAGGAACATTAAACGTTGTGCAGAAATTGGGGTGCATCACTTGTGGTCGCAAATGGGTGTTTAATCCCCTTCCTCCCAAAAAGGATGGAGACTTTTCAACAGCTGAAAAAGCGGATACCCACCCAACCAACCACGAAGTGGCAGTGGTTGGGCACCCTGGAATCGGTGGGGATTTTTAAAAAGGCAGGATGGAAACCAGCCAAACCAGGGAAGGGAAAAGAAATCCCTTCATCTCCATAGCATCTTCTCCATCGTGTTTTATGTTCGCGATCCCATTGTGAACCGGGAGTAAAGGTATATAGTTTCCTGCCTTGAGCAGGGTCTTGGACTAAAACAGTGGTCCTCAACCTTTTCTTCAGCATAGACCTCCCCCTTTAAATACCTTTTGGAACCATGAACCATGGCCACAGACCATGAAGACTTAACTCAAGATTTAAAGCACTTTTGTAGACCTCTTGTGATGACATAGAAGCCCCCCCACCCATTCCGCAGAGGTCCATGGACACAGGTTAAGTACCACTGGACTAGATGATCTCTGAAGACCTCCAGACATATAGATTCTATATTCTAATCAGCACCATATTTTTCACACCATGATATTGCAATGATATATATGTTGTAGCATCAGTTATGAAATCCCTTCATCTTCTCCATAGCATCTTCTCCATCGTGTTTTATGTTCGTGATCCCATTGCGAACCGGGAGTAAAGGTAAGTAGAACCCACCCCTGATGTATGTCAGTACCCACATATATGATATTATATTAATAGCACAGTCTTGGAATGTGCTGGAATTTCTAGCATGTATACACTATTGAAACAGGACGTCTGCGTTGGCTTGGGCATGTCGTGAGAATGGCTGATGGTCGGATTCCGAAAAATCTCCTGTATGAAGAATTAGTACAGGGAAAGCACCTCAGAGGGAGACCACAGCTGAGATATAAGGATAACTGCAAGAGGGACCTAAAGGCCCTGGGAATGGACATTAACAACTGGGAAACATTGACCTCTGATTGTTCAGCTTGGAGGCTAAAGACGCAGCACAGCCTTCTCCAATTTGAAGAGACACTTGTTCGGCAGACTGAGGCAAAGAGGCAGTCCCGGAACCAGCGAAATCTGGGGGCTGGGCAGGGGACAGAATGTATCTGCCCTCCGTGTGGAAGAGATTGCCACTCTCGAATTGGCCTTTTTAGTCACACTAGATACTGTTTTAGGACCTCTTTCCAGAGCACGATGCCATAGTCTCTTGAGACTGAAGGATGCCAATGCAAAATTATATGATACAGAGAAACAACACAGTCTAGGTTAGGATGTATACATGAGGACAGGAGGTAGAAAGGATTCACCAAGACTTGAAGAGCCAACGGATAGGAGGCAGGGAAGTTTGTCCCAGCGGTCCAACCGCTGGGCTTCCAAAATGACGTTAAACTGACATCGTGCCCTAAATAGAGGTGGATCTGGATGCTTGCTAAGGTTCCCCGCCTCAATTGCATTGTCAGATGCGGCTGTTGTCTTCAGGCCCCACCAGGTGGCGCTCTCTTGCCGTCGAATGCCACTGCGCATGCTCCGCCCCGAGTCCAGCTGGAGGGGGAAGACTGGCTGTGAGTTGCACCCTGGAAATCGAGATGGGGAGGGGGAGGTTGGCAGGAGGGGATCCCGCAACCTAGAGCCTCCCTGGTGGGGAGGACAACTCCCCCTTCCAGCCCTAGGCAGAGCTTCCCCGGCCAGTCCTTGCAAGGAATGGGGGAAAGTGCTGGTCCTTCCCCCCCAAATGCTCCATAGCCGGTGGCAAGAGGGAAAGACCCAGGGTCCCCCAAAAGAAATTGCCGGACTTGGAATCCCAAGGCTGGGAAGCAGAGGGAGAACACCCCCCCCCCAATCCCGCTCTTGGCTGTGCACACTTTGGGGGGAAGGAGGAAGATGGATGGGCTACTCCCTGCCTTTGTTCCCACGGGGAGGATCACCTTGTGGTGCTTCCCCCCTTCCCTTCCATAGCTATTAAGAATGCAGGAAGAGGATGTCTCAAAGGTGCTTCTTCGTTTTTTCTTTTTTTTTTTCCAAAAGGCAACTGGACTTTCTGGTTTTTCTTTGAAGACGTTTGGCTTCTCATCAAAGAGGCTTCTTCAGCTCTGACTGGATGGTGGGGAGCTGACATCTTGACCTGTCTTGAAAAGCCAAAACAAGAAAGTCCAGTTGCCTCTTGGGAAAAAAAAAAAAAAAAGCACCTTTGGGACAACCATGACCTGGATGACTGGGAATCTCCGTAGACAGGCAGGAAGAAGATGAGGAAGGTGAGTGGCTCCTTTGCTTTTCAAACTTCCAAGTGGAAAAGAGAAAAGAGTTGGGAAAGAGGACTCTGGAGGGAAGCCAAAAGAACCGTGTTCACATTTTGCATAAACCAGGATCGCTTCCCAGCATTTCTACCCAAAAATCTGGGAAAGGGACTTTCTGCCCTCTGCTAATGATCGTTTTAAACTTCTGGGAAGGGTCCAATTTTAAATTTCAAATGTTGGCAGGGCTGGTAAGAAACCCCCCCCCCTCCAAGAATTTTTCTGCTGTCCCTGGAGTTGCACCTCTGCAGAAGGCCCTTCCCCCCCAAATGAGGGAGGGCAAGAGATGTTGGGAGGGAAAGAGGGTTCTGAAACCACACTGTTGCTTTGCACTGATGTGTGTGCTGCCCAAATGTGTGTGATAACACAGGGTGCGGCTTGTGATTTGGTGCATGTGGGACCAGCATGTTGGCTTGTATGTGGTTTGGAGAGTTAGAGGATAAATGGGATCAATAAAGGAGAATATTCGTAGCTGAGAGGCCCTTGGTGCTCTCTGAGCTTGCTTGTTTTCTTGCAGATGTTTCAAACTAGGTAACATCATCAGTCCTAGCACTGAAGAGGTTACCTAGTTAGGGTAACGAAACGTCTGCAAGAAAACAAGCAAGCTCAGAGAGCACCAAGGACCCCTCATAAATGGGATCATCGTGAGGTATAGCAAAAATCTGGGTTTAGTCGTCGTCATGGCCCACGTGACCATGAGACTGCTCAGGAGACAACACTGCCTGTGGCCTGAGCTGGAAACCTAGCCTGTAACTTCACTTCCCAGCTGTCTGAAATGGTCTTTCTTTTGGAAAGACAGATGGTAGCAACGACGTGTCAACATGGAACGGAGAGGAATGTATAGGAAAAAGCCAGAATTAATGGTACGGTATTAGAGAAAGGGAATAGTTATTTGTGTGTCAGTGAAACAGAGGGAAATCAAAAATGGGATGGATCTTTTGGAAGATGGCTGGATCTCCTGGAATGGAGTTGATCAGGAAGTGAAGGTTCAGCTTTGATCAGGAACAGCTGGTGACGAGGGGTTGCGTGTTTTGCTTCGGGGAATGGTGAAAACGGAAGAACCAGAGACAAATGGAAGGGAATGTTACTTTGATGGAAGCATCAAGAGCAAATCTTGAGGGGAAATGGATAGAGGAGAAAGAGTGAAAATGAAAATGTTGAATGGAAAAGTATTAGAACAGGAGGATTTCCAAGATTGGCGTGAAACATAAGTATCAAAGGGTAGACATTTATTTATTTTTTATTTATTTTATTTGATTTCTATACCGCCCTACTCCCGAAGGACTCAGGGCGTGCACAGCCAAACAATAAAACACATACATACAAAATTTAAAAGTAGAATAAAATCAAATTAAATAATTTTGGCCCCGACAAATTTAAAACCCCAAACTTTTAAAACCAATTTAAAATTGAATGTATAAAATACTAAAAGATATTTAAAAATTAAAAATCTTTTATAAAAGAGGGAGAAAATTAGGCCAGGCCCGCCTGGTGAAATAGTAAGGTCTTTAAAGCGCGGCGGAAGGTGCGCAGATCCGGGGTCCTCCGTATCTCTGGGGGGAGCTCGTTCCAGATAGTAGGTGCCCCCACAGAGAAGGCTCTCCCCCTGGGGGCCGCCAGTCGGCATTGTTTGGCTGACGGCACCCAGAGGAGCCCCTCTCTATGGGAGCGTACCGGCCAGTGGGAGGCTATTGGTGGTAGTAGGCGGTCCCGCAAGTACCCAGGTCCTAAGACATATATTTATGAAATGTTATTTTATGTGGCTGCCTCTTGTCTGCAAATGACTCTAGGCAGATTTCTATTTAAAAAGTAAAAAAAAAACAACCCAGGGAGAAGAACCAGGAGCATCCAGGATAAAAAAAATGTTACAGCTTGCTATAGCGATCAGTATCCAAGAAAAAAAGAAGAGAAAGGCAGAGATGGTGGAAAGATTGGGCAAAACGGGTACAGGGTGTTATTGGAGAAATGTGAAAATATATGTCCCAAAGGAGTTTTTTCAGGAGGCAACTGGACTTTCTTGGTTTTGCTTTTGAAGACATTTTGCTTCTCCTCCAAGAAGCTTCTTCAGCTCTGACAGGATGGTGGGGAATGGAAGGATTTATTTATCTATTTCCCACTGTCCTGTCAGAGCTGAAGAAGCTTCTTGGATGAGAAGCAAAACATCTTCAAAAGCAAAAACAAGAACGTCCAGTTGCCTCCAGGAGAAAAAAAAAAAACACCTTTGGGACAACCGTGACCTGGATGACTGAGAATCTCTACAGACTTTTATAGAATAGAATTCTTTTTGCCAAGTGTGATTGGACACACAAGGAATTTGTCTCCGGTGCATAAGCTCTCAGTGTACATAAAAAATATAAGTGATAAATCATGGAAATTGTATATGTTATGTTTTACCATGGCTGTTCACTGCCCTGAGTCCTGTTGGAGAAGGGCGGTATACAAATTAAATAAAATAAATAAAATAAAATAAATGGTCATAGTCATAAATACATTAATCATGAATCATAAGATGCAACACTTAGTGATACTAATAGGATACTAAATAAGCAATCAAAATCATACTAGGAAACTAAATAAAACAATAGAAATTGTAAAGATACAAGCAACATTATAGCCATAAGTAGAAAGGAGATAAGTAATAGGAAGGATGAGAATAATTATAATAATAATACAGTTTTAGTAAATAGTTTGACAGTGTTGTGGGAATGAATTGTTTAGCAGAGTGATGGCATACGGGGGGAAAAAAATCTGTCCTTAGTCTAGTTGTTCTGGTGTGCAATGCTCTATAACGTCATTTTAAGGGTAGAAGTTGAAACAATTTATTTTATGTGAGAATATAGTTGTGAGCAAGTATGCAATTTAATTTAGTTTGTGCCCAAGATTTATTTTTTTATTTTATTTTTATTTATTTTTATATGCCGCCCTTTTCCGGAGACTCAGGGCGGCTTACAGTGCGCTAAGCAATAGCCTTCATACTTTTGTATATTTTATACAAAGTCAGCTTATTGCCCCCACAAACAGGGTCCTCATTTTACCCACCTTAGAAAGGATGGAAGACTGAGTCGACCTGAGTCGATGGCTTCTTTGCGTGATACTCGGAGGATGCTGCTGTTATTCCTCTCTACAAAGGGAAAGTTGGCAGGTGTGAGTGTTAAATCTGCAGGGGGATTGGTTGGTTAAGTGTGTCTGGGGAGGAGTTTAGGATTATTCAGGTTGGAAGGATACAATAAGGTAACAATCTTATTGTTAACAGTCCTTAAACAGTCCTTAAACAATAAGGAGAGTATATTTTTTTTCAAAATCAAAGGAACATAAATACCAGTAGCACTTATATACTGCTTTACAGTGCTTTAAAGCCCTCTCTAAGCGGTTTACATAGTCAGCATATTGCCCCCAATAATTTGAGTCCTCATTTTACCCACTTCAGAAGGATGGAAGGCTGAGTCAACTCTGAGCCTGGTGAGATTTGAAGTGCCAAATTGCAGGCAACCGGCAGTCAGCAGAAGTAGCCTGCAGTACTGCACTCTAACCACTGCGCCACCTTGGCTCATATATTGGCCTGTGTTTTTTCTCTTCCTCCTTGGATATTTAAGCTGAAGTCATCTCGCCTGGCGATCAAAAGGACTCTCAGAAACAGAGAGGGCTCAAAAGCTTGGTGAGACGTATCCAGGACCACCTCATGAATCCTCCTTTATGATTGAAAAGAATTTTATGGATCCACGAGATCTCTTGGCCCCCATTTGGACTTGTGTTGAAGAACAACAACAAAAATGGAGTCAAAACTCCGAGCAGCTGAGAAAGCTGGAAAAAGGATCCGTCGGGGAACCTGGGCACGAACCAGGCAGAAAACCCTGAAGGAGGAAGCCATCACTTCAGAGATCCAGTGCTGGAGCTTCAGGAATGTCCACTACCAGGAAGCCAAAGGGCCACGAGAACTTTGCAGCCATCTCCATCGCCTTTGCCATCGGTGGCTGAAGCCAGAAAGACACACCAAGGCCCAGATGCTGGACCTGGTACTTCTGGAGCAGTTCCTGGCTATCCTGCCCCCAGAGATGGAGAGTTGGGTGCGAGAGTGTGGAGCGGAGACCAGCTCCCAGGCGGTGGCCCTGGCCGAAGGCTTCCTCCTGAGCCAGGCAGAGGAGCAGAAGGAGCAGGGAGAACAGCAGGTGAGAGACGCTTATTCTAAGACTTCTAAAGGGATATTAGGTAAGATAAACAATGTTTGAATTTCTTAAATATTTCCTAACTAGTTTCCTGGGCTTAAAGACTGCAAATTGTGGGCAGAGAGGGAAACTCTTTTTGTGTGTGCTGTTCCCTTCATTCCTTTCCTTTTTTCTGCCTGGAGTTAACAGGTTCTGGAGATGATCACTGAACATCCCGTGAGAAGGAAAGGCCTGTCCAATCCCGCTCCGGAGCTCTTTCCCACGATCACCTTCCAGAAAGGCCAAAGTTGGGACACCTCTCGTGGTAAGGGAGGGGTTTCTTCTAAGCCACATAAAGTTTCCCAGGGAGTCCATAGTTCTCCCTTCTTTGGTGGATCCTCTTGGGTGCGGTATCTCCCCACATTTTACTAAGTTTTGCTTCCACCATTTTTTCTCTTCCTCGTAGGGAACAAAATGATGTCGCTGGTCTTCGTAGGGGCATCTCCTTTTTCTGCTGGCGCTGAGAGAGCAGCTGGATCTCCAGCTCAGGTAGCAGCTTAATTCTTATCTTCCAGCCTGTCAGTGGCTCTGACCAAAGGATGTTCCCCAGGAAACTAGGGAGAAGCTGAAAATGGGTGTGTTTCGTAGCATCCAGAGCGATCCTGGGATGGGCTCTCCAAAACTCATGAAGGTGTTGTGTTGAACCTGGGGACCGGTGCCATAGGGCTGAAATGTCAGACAGGAAGGACCTTCCCGCCCCCTTCCTGCAAACACCAGGAAGAACTGGAGCCAGTGACGGTTTGAGTGTCCAGAACCCATCTGCCAGCGGATCTAGAAGTAAACTGAGGTTACTTTCACCACATGGTCCTGAAATTCCTGCCGGAAACAATCAAGTTGATAATAAGTCTGCTGTTAATTATTCTTGCAAAAATGTTGCCTTGTTTAATTCATTTCAAGGGTCCACTTTTTAAGGTTTGTGAACAAATAGACCTTTTTCTGTTAATTGGGAGTATAGGTTTCCTGTTTCAGGGTCTTGTGTCCTTCGAGGAGGTGGCTGTGGATTTCTCTGAGGAGGAGTGGGCTCATCTGGATCCTCACCAAAAGGCTCTTCATGGAGAAGTCATGCTGGAAAACTCCAGGAATGTGGCCTCGCTGGGTAAGAGCTCTTGTGCACTATGTGTCAGGATTCCAAGTAATATACCCATAGCAAACAGAACTCCGAGGCAGGTAGATTCCTCAAAGAACTGTTTTATTGGGTATATCATATTGGCATGGACTGGTGAAAACCGACTCTAAAAGTTCCGGTGGTTTTCACCTAAAAGTAAAAGTTTCAGCCTTTCACCAAACAATCAGTCACATGGTCCAATCAAGATGCCATCCAGTTGCTTGGTAACTTCACTCCTCTTTTCTTCAGCCACCTGTGGGAATGTCCTTGGTTCCCAGGAGAAAGTATTTTGTTTTGGCTACCAAACCCCAAATAGCTGTCTCTATTCCCCCACTCCCTATCCTTCAGTTCCATTGTGGCAACACTGAAGCCCCAAAGATGGCCTCAGTCAGGCCAACTTCAGAGTTGACACTATGACTTTATTTATTTATTATTTATTTATTATTCAAATTTCTATACCGCCCTTCTCCTTTCGGACTCAGGGCGGTGAACAGCCAAAATAAAACATTTATACATAAAGTACGATTAAAAATAGATTTAAAATAATTAAATTTGGCCCATAGTTTAAAATTTATCAATTTAAAATCCATATCAAAATTTAAAATCAACCATAAAATCATAAAATCAAGAGAGACCGGCTAACTGAAAGAGATGAGTTTTTAGGGCCCGACGAAAAGTCCGGAGGTCGGAGATCACTCGTATCTCTGGGGGTAGATTGTTCCAAAGGGTAGGTGCCACCACAGAGAAGGCTCTCCTCCTGGGGGTCGCCAGCCGGCATTGTCTAGCCGACGGCACCCTGAAGAGGCCCTCTCTGTGGGAGCGAACTGGCCGGTGGGAGGCTATTGGTGGCAGAAGGTCCCGTAAGTACCCTGGCCCTAAGCCATGGAGCGCTTTAAAGGTGATCACCAACACCTTGAAGTGCACCCGGAAGTCCACCGGAAGCCAATGCAGCTCGTGCAGGAGAGGAATCACATGGGAGCGCCCGGTCGCTCCCATAATCCCCCGCGCAGCCGCATTCTGCACCAGCTGGAGCCAACTTTAAGGGCTTGGATGATACAAACAGAAGCAAGAGCCCAAATTATGGTTAGTCTTCTGTCTATATAAGAAGGAGGAAGAATGAAAAGCTTAGCATGTTGTCTATTTCCTTTCAAAATACAAACCTCTAAAGAGTTTTAATCTGTCCGTATTTCTCTTTCCAAATTTTCCTTCTAAATTTGCTCTTCATAAATTGTTGGTGTATTAAAAACTCTAGTCTTTCAAAAACCTATTAAAGAATTAAAATAAGGAATATTTTTAATATAGTACAGGTTTTCTCTTGTCTGTTGTCATTATCATCTTCTTTTAATAATCCCTTGTGGGGTGGAGTCTGGGCAACTGAATAGAGCTAGCAGAGCGTTTTAATAGCCGGGTGCCCTTCCTATCGCCAATGCAGAGTTTTTTTCAGCAGATATATTTTCATTGTGCCCAGAGAGAGAAATATCAGCCTCTACCTAGGATCAAACTCACAATCTCCTGATTGTGAGGTGAGAGCTCCACCTCTAGGCCACCGCACCACTCAATACATGCCTTAATTAAAAATATTTTATTTCTGAAAAGGCGAATCTGATAAATAATAATGAAAAAGTTTGAAATATTGCACAAAGTCCCAAAACGTGACACAGAGACACAAAGAGAACAAATGCTGATAGAAAAATGACTTGCTCAACTCAGGGTTGCGACAAGCCTTCAATTCGTTAAAAAACCTGCAATATCTGCTAAGTACAATAAAACAAAGCATGCCTGTATTGACTTTTATATGTTCTTCCTTTGCCTTTAAGTTCTGTTATTTTCTCCTTGGCAACAGTCTTTTTCTCACCACTTTATTTCACTGATGCGCTTGTTCTTTTTTCCCCAAAGGAACTCAGAGGACTTTTCCCCGTACTCCACGGAAACGAACAGCCACAGGAGGCAAACCATATAAATGCTTGGAATGCGGGAAAATCTTCAGCAAGAGCAGCAATCTGACTTCCCACAAAAGAATCCACACGGGGGAGAAGCCATATACATGCCTGGACTGCGGAAAGAGCTTCAGTCGGAGCAGTAGCTTTTCAGCGCATAAAAGGATCCACACCGGAGAGAAACCGTATGAATGCCCGGAGTGCGGCAAGCGATTCAGTGAGAGCAGTCATCTCATCGCACATAAAAGGATCCACACGGGAGAAAAACCGTACGAGTGCATCGAATGCGGGAAGAGCTTCAGTCAGAGCAGTAGCTTCGCTGCACATCGGAGGATCCACACAGGCGAGAAACCCTACAAATGTGTGGAGTGCGGGAAGAGCTTCAATACTAGTACGCACCTGACATCTCACAAAAGGATCCACACAGGAGAAAAACCCTACAAATGCATAGAGTGCGGGAAGAGCTTCAGCGAAAATGGGGCTCTAACGTCACACAAGAGGATCCACACAGGGGAGAAACCATACAAATGCACGGAGTGTGGAAAGTGCTTCAGTCAGAGCAGCTCCTTTACGCTCCATAAAAAGAGGCATAAAGGAGAGACGCCGTATATATGCATCAAGTGGTGAAAAAAAAATTCCAGTTTGCAGCTCCTTTCTTTCCCATAAAAGGGTCCACAAAGGAGAAGAAATGGCTTGAATGCATGGAGTTGGGAAAACTGAATCAGTCTTTGTACAACACATCTAGCAACCTCATAGATAACCCTATCTATGGGTTATCTATGGGTTATATGAGCGATAATTGGGGTGCAGTAAAGCCGAAGTACAAAAAAAATGGGCAGGATCAAGTGAAATAAACTAAATTTGACATTCTGTCTATGGCAAGAGTGTTAAACTCACGGCCCCCGGGCCAGATGCACTGGCCACGCCCACCCCCATTTTAGCAAAGGGGGAAAACGTTGCGATACGGCACATGACGTCAATGTGTCATCATGAGTTTGACATCCCTGGTCTATGGAGATTCTCAGTCATCCAGGTCATGATTGTCTCCAAAGTGCTTTTTCAAGAGGCAACTGGATTTTCTGGTTTTTCTTCGAAGACGTTTCGCTTCTCATCCAAGAAGCTTCTTCAGCTCCGACTTAATGGTGGGGAATGGAAGGATTTATACTTGCAGATAGCTAGTCATTTGCATCCTTTTAGAGAGTCGTTGAGGTCACCTTTATCTGTATCCTCAGGGTCGTCTGGGTGGTGTAAATGGGTGTGGAGCCTTCTTGGAACTTTCTTTATCTTTATCTTTATTTGATTTATATACCGCCCTATTCCCAAAGGACTCAGGGCGGTGAACAGCCAAACGATAAAATACATAAATACAAAATTTAAAAAACAGAATAAAACCAAATTAAACAATTTGGCCCAGACAGATTTAAAACACCCCAATCATTTAAAAAACAGATTAAAATTTTCATATTAAAAAGAAAAAGGGAAAAGATTAGGCCAGGCCCGCCTGGTGGAATAAAAAGGTCTTGAGAGCGTGGCAGAAGGTGCGCAGGTCCGGGATCCTCCATATCTCTGCGGGGAGCTCATTCCAGATAGTAGGTGCCCCCACAGAGAAGGTTTTCCCCCTAGGGGCCGCCAGTCGACACTGTTTGGCCGACGGCATCCGGAGGAGCCCCTCTCTATGAGAGCGTACCGGCCAGTGGGATGCTATTGGTGGTAGTAGGCGGTTCCCGTAGGAACTGCTGAAAGGACTGTGTTGTAGACAGAGATAGATGAAAAATTGAAAACTGAACAGCCCTCTCTCAACACCTGTCTGCAAGGAGTATAAATCCTTCCATTCCCCACTCTCCAGTCAGAGCTGAAGAAGCTTCTTGGATGAGAAGTGAAACATCTTCAAAAGAAAAACCAGAAAGTCCAGTTGCCGCTTGAAAAAGTACCTTTCGGATAAATGTGACATTATTTCTTTTGTTAAATTCGATCAAGCTCTAGTTAAATTAATTTAAAAATTGCTAGTATGATTACTAGACTCTCAAGTCACATACTTACCTATTTCCCTCTCTGGACACACCAAATTAAAATCTGGTGGCAGCATTTGAAGGAAATTTGGGGGTGATGGGGATTTTGTGGGCCATGTGGCCTGGGACTTGGGTCCTTTACTCAGATATAACAATATAGAAAGGTGAAAACATCACTGAAGGCATAGAAAATCCACTCAGGGAAGCAGTTTTTTTAATTCTTAGTGTATTATCTGATTGAGACTTCAGCCAAGGATGCAATTCAGGTTTAGTGCTTCCAGAATAATTTATAAATATATAGGGAGTCCTTCACTTAGTGACTGTTCAAAGTTACAACAAATCCTCTAAGACCTGTGACACCTGAAGTTCTGACATCAGCCCCTCGAGTCACATGACTACGTTTTATTTTGCACTTGGCAACAGGCTGGCATTTAAGCTGGTTACTTCTGGTTTTGGGGAAAAAACCAGTCAGTCGCAAACACTAGTTGACTTTACAACCACTGTGTTCATGTAATGACTGCTGCAAAAATGTTATAAAATGGATCTGGTTGTACTGTAGGAGCTTTTGTGGTTTATGGCCGTAATTACCAGACTCAATTATGGTCATAAGTCAAGGACTACCTATACCCTTGATTTATGCCATAGCTCCAGCAGGTTCTGACAGGTTCTGGAGAACCAGTAGCGGAAATTTTGAGTAGTTCAGAGAACCGGCAAATGCCACCTCTGGCTGGCCCCAGAGTGGGGTGGGAATGGAGATTTTGCAATATCTTTCCCCTGCCACGCCCACCAAAGCCACACCACGCCCCACCCACAGAACCGGTAGTAAAAAAAAATGAATTTCACCACTGCATAGCTCTGAATGCTTTTTGCATAGATCAGTAATGATTAACTGTCGTGGCTCTTTGGACCTCCAGACCATAGAGACAGGTGGCATGAGTGATGGCAAAAAGAAATGACTTCTAAGCCATGTAACATCTCATATCTTGTTGGAGGTCTTGCAACTATGACTGTTCAAGAGAATAAAACCCTGGAAGTCGCAGAGATACTCTTGGAGTGAAATGGGAGAGAGAGATTAAAGATATTCCTCAAGTTTCAACAGTTCATTCAAAGTTATAGTGGCACTGAAAAAAGTGACTTATGACTGTTTTCACATTTTTCACATTTACAACTATTGCAGGATCCCGTGGTCATATGATCAAAATTCAGATAGACAACTGACTCATATTTATGACAGTTGCAGTGTCCCAGCCTTCTGATAAGCAGTACGTAGGGCTGTTCTGCTCCAGCCACGGACCCCAAAGAACGCAACACACACAAACTCAATACAAAGCTTATTTACTCAAAATAACTTAGTCTTTATCATTCAAATGCTGTTAATGAAGTGTCTTAACAGCCTACCAGAATTCTACAATAAGGAAATCACAGTATTATAATCAAAGCCCAGAAGCAGTTTTGCAGACACGAAAGAGAGCAAACTAAAGTTGTTCTCTACAACTTGTTGCAAGTGGCGTTCTTTCTTAAATAGGCTAAGGGAGTGGCCAATTAGCCCCAAGCCTTACTCTCGAGGAGACCTCCTCCTGAGGAACCACTCCTGCCTTTTGGCAGCTCTACGTGCCCGTGCATTGAGAAGAGGCTCCTCCTCCTCATCTTCTTCAGTTAAAGGAGCTTCTGGAGGTTCTGAAGGCCCTGGCTGAATCCCTGCCTCTGGTACCACATCTTCTCCAGCCTCCTCATTGTCTGACTCGAGCACCAGCTGCACAGGCTGCTAGCGCAGCACAACACCAGCCTCCTCCTCGTCGGGATCAGCAACAATCCACGCAGGCCGCTGGCGGGCCACAACAAGGGCTGCCAGATTCACTTAACAAAGGTCTTACTAACTTAATGGCAGTGATTCACTTAATAATTGTGGCAAGAAAGACGGTAAAATGGGACAAAGCTCACTTAACAACTGTCTCATGTAGCAAGATAAATTTTGGCCTCCGTTGTAAGTTGAGGCCTACCTGTACTAGGTTTCTTCAGCCATCAAGGATACAAAGGAAAACTGAAGATTTGGGGGATGTATAAAAACCGAAATTGTGGAATAAAGACAAGCAAAGCATGAAGGAAGCCGTTTTAGGAAAAGTTTGATAGCGATCAAAAAAGAGAATGCGTTGAAGAGGGAAAGAACTAACTAAATGTTGAAAGTTAGTGAAAAAGGCTAAACAAATCCAAAAAAATAGCTTTTTCAGATCTTTTCACAAGAAAATAAGGGAGGAGTATATTAACAGTTGAAAGAAAATGACAAAAGACCAACAGATAAAAAACAAAGCAACCTAAACATACTATTCCTGCTTTCCAAAGAAGGAAGGAAAGGATTCCAGGAGCTAAAAACAAATCCGCCTTAAGATGTCTGGGAAAAGTAAAGAGCAAAAATCAAGCAATAAGCATCCTGAAGACCAGGAAGTGATTTCTGGCAGAGTTGTTTAAAAAAACCCAACTACGGTGCAACTAAAGCTGTGCAGTGAGAAACTGCAATTTAGCTGAATTGAAATTGCCCACGCATATCGACAACTGAATGACGTAGAAAATGCCTGTAGAGTATGTGGAGGAAAAACAAGAATTGGTAAAAGTAAGGAAAGACAGGCATGAGAAAAAATAAAACTAACAGCATATCCGAGTGATCAAAACTATAGATCTATCTTGGCATTGATGTTTTGAAGATTCGAAAGCAGATTGTAAAAGATTGATCTTTGAACACTCTGAAAAAAGAGGTTATTAGAAGTTTACTAGCATGGATTTGTCAGAAACACATGTTTCCTGACCAGCCTTCCCTCAAATTTGGATTGGGTAACTTTTTTAATAGATTGTGGGACTGCTTTAGATGTAATATAACTTGGTTTCTGCAAGGCATTTGACAGATTAGCCAGTGACATTGAGTAGTAAGTTAATTTAGTGTGGTAGGAATGGCATGACAATTAAGTGGAATCGGACGCATAATGACGCAAAGGTTTTATTCAGAACATGCTCAAATGTTACTCTTCATCGAACTGGAGGAAGGTAATAAATGGGATACTACAATGTGGCACTGGGGTTTTGTTTAATAATTTCAACATTAATTCAATCAAAGATTAAGAGGAATTGTTTATCGAATTTTCAAATAACGCAAAATTGGATGAGGTCGTTTTTATCCTAAAAGTAACCATAGAAATCACTGACACTAATAGTAACTTCAAACTCTCTGCCCCAAACCTGATGGGATTCCATGAGAGACAAAACAACCCCAAAAATGTACGCTAGGGCAGCCATACAACATTTTCTAAGGTAAGAGTAGAAAGGATGGGAGGGCATTAGGGCTTATTTTAAGACACACTCCTGTTTATGATCTGGGCGACTCATCTCTTTGCCTCTTGATCAGGAAATCCTGGAATTAAAATAATGAACTGCCATTTGAAAAAGTTTGAAAACCTCAAGTAAAAATGTCCCAAAGGTGCTTTTTCAAGAGGCAACTGGACTTTTCTGTTTTTTTTCTTTTGAAGATGTTTCGCTTCTCCCAGAAGCTTCTTCAGCTCTGAAGATTCCATTCTTCAATCAGAGCTGAAGAAGCTTCTGGAAGGAGA